AAACAGCTTGACCCAGCAGATAAAAAGTCCTTGGAGCAACTGAAAGATCACATTTCTGTCACAGGGTATATAAACTAAAGGAAAGAGTAAAAAAAAGTAGTGGATAAAAAGACAGACACAATGAAAACAGAAGTTTTCAACTCTCTTTCACTATCTTCTGAGAAAAAGATTACTTCAAACACACTAAATATTCCACACAGATGATTGGTTTGTTCACTAATCTAAGGTCTTAGGATTCGAAGTTTGTTATTAACACTTTTTATCTTGAGGCAAGAATTATATTTCCTAATATATAACCTATATAAGCACTAATATACTTAATTTGATTTTTTACAGCTTCTATCGTATACCCTCAACCATGTTGTCTGTGCTGTAAGGGTCCCTGCTAAGTCTGTTTCACAGACATCATTATTCCCGTTCATCTGAAATTTCTGACAAAATTCAAACTTGCTGCCACTTGGTTCCCAACTGAAGGCTAAAATTGCAGGTATGGTCTCTGTTTTAGCTTCTCTCAGATCTTAATTCCGTTGTGGTCTTTAAATACCTAGAAGTATTTAGACATAGTAGATGAGTCATCTAAGCCATGGAAAATGTGTTTTATTATGACAATAGAGAATCTGTGGATTGCTCTTGCTCAAACTGTGGCTGTATAATGTTTGCTACCAGTCTTCAAAGACATTTGAGCTCATTTTGCCCAAACGAGTCACTGTGAGCTCTTTCCTTTTTTCTTATCTCCCTTACGTCACTTTGCTGTTTCAGGTGTGCATTAAAACCTCCTGCAGTTTTCTGTTTATTGCACATAAGCTCTTTTACATGTGGCACAACTGGAGTTTCAGACACTCTCTCAAAATAACCTGCTTGTTAACTTACTTCTACACCCACATCTTTAGACAGATTATGAAGGTCTTGAAGACTAATTTGTCCCACATAATTAGGTCCTGAGAGCTTTACAATATACTTTACTATGCTTTAAATTCCAAAAAAAACCTCTTTGGAGGTAATTTGACACATAAAATGTATGCAGTCCTCAGTGTGTTTGCCACATGTTCTGCTGTTTCCTGCTATGTTAATATGCCCTTTCATCATTTCCTCTCACCACATCCTCTTGACTGTGCTTCTTTCACCCCCCCTCCATACACTTTCACTGACTTATCACTACTCCTCAGAGAGTTTCACTTACACTGGGAAATAGCATCTGTAATAGAACCAGTTGGTTACAATTTAGAGAAGAAATTATGGCAAATAATCAACATTTTGAGTTTTAGATCAGAATATTTTCAGGGCAACTTTCAAGTCCTGTTTCTACTCTTTTTGTTCCAGCCACAGCTAATTATCTTCTTGTCTGTGTTCATACCACATTGAACAAGCCCATTGAAGTGTATTTTACTGGCAAGTTCAGAAAGATTGAAAATGAGTGCTAACAAAATGATGCTTTCCTGAGCAAGGGTGGGTTTTGATAGACTTACTCAAGTAGGAAACAATATGATCTCCCAAGGAATAGAGTACCAAAGAGTGGATGTTAAAAATGCTCCCAATAGAATCCTTAACTCCCTTGCCAAAAGACATTTAATGTGCAACCATCTCTACTGTAAAACAAATGCTGAAGAGGTGCAGTCAGTGATATTTGCACAGGTTCATTCTCATTAAAGGCTTTTATAATAGCATTCACTCTGGTGTAAACTTTTTAAAATTGACTTCTAGATCTATTAATCCCCTTCATCTCCTTCTCAGGAGCTTAATGTATGACATTGTAGCTAAAAGGACTAGCTTGGTCCTTAGACGAATGAACGGGAATACAGAGTAAAGGCAGAAAAGTTATGTGTGTTTTTAATGGTAATGGGACCAATCCTAGAAGGGCTGGAAAGACTTTGGAGTAAGAAAGATTTCAGAGATGGAATTGGAGGAGGACTAAGAGTGAAGATGTAAACAACTCTAGTTATTTAGAGTAATGCAAAGGATAACTTGATTATGGTTTAAGCACAAGTCTAGAGATATATAAGGATTTAATACTAGGGGAATCTTGATTCAGAAGGAAAAAAAATTAAATTTTTACAAAATTGCAAATATCAACAGCTAAAGACTAAAGTTGTATTCCAGATGCTAAGTGTTAACAGCATTGAAACCTCTAGGTGAAACCTCTAAGTGAGGTTTAAGGTGGATTATCCCCAGTGCAACTATCAAATATATTACTGGATAGTTGAAAAAGGTAATACTTATCTAATGACAGCTGTTAGATTTGAAACAAGAATCCAGAGAAGGTCTATAGCCTGAGATATGCCTGAGATAATTTTTTAATTTTATCTACTTTGTTTCTAAAAAGAATTGTTAAAGTTCTTCTCACACTTGTGGGAGAGCACAATTGTGCCCTTTGGCTGTGACACTCCCAGCCTGGTCACTGCACAGTCAACACCCCCAACAACAGCTTTCTACCTCTCATTAAGTGAAAGAAAGGGAGGGACTCTCAGGAAAGTGTAATTGTTGAATGCCTATGCAGTAAGACCCAGTGTTGTCTCTCTTCTGGCAGTGTCAACAATGTCTGTCTCTGGAGTCAGAAAAGCACTGAGTTATAATTCAAAACAGCAGCATTAAAAACCTGTGTCTTTCTGTTGACTATACATGAAGTTTGGGATCCTGATTATACGTAGTGGGATGGCAGGACAGCCATCCAAAACCATTCTCTCTTTGCAGCTCCTACTCCTTCCCTATAACTAGAATGGAGGTTGTATGTGCAAGAATGAGAGCACTGCTGCTTCTCTGTTTTCTCCTCAAAGTCACACATTCTGCTGTGACCTTCCTTTTATGTGTTGTTTCATTTGCCTTGTTTATTTCTATCTCTTCACCTTGTTTGCAGAGTGGAAAGCCAGGCTGTGAGAGGAATTGCTGGGATCCCTGCCTAGTGCAGAGAATTCTGCTCCTGGGGCTATTTTCTACCCTGATGGATCTGCCCACAGCTCTGCCTCTGCAGTGGATGTTTCCCAGGGTCTGCATTGGCTCTGTTTGTTCAGGCTTCATCACTAAACATCATGTTATACGTTGGGAAAATGCTTCTGTGCTGAGTGTATGCATTTGCCTAGCTGTGTGGGCACAACAGGCAGGATTAAAAGTGTTTTCCAAGGTTCAGCACTGAGCATATAATGACTGTCACAGGGGAGAGCCACTTCCCTAAATGATGAAAGAGCAACACGCCATTACACATTATTTAAACACTCTCTGACATCTCCTGCAAATGCGTAGCCACAGTGGAGTGGCAAAGTGTGTCTTGCTGCACAGCTAGAAAAAAATCCAATGTTTACTGCACTGAGGACAAGCATCCTCAGACCATGTCAGGCAGAGCATTACAGAGATTAGGGTCTACGTCCTCATTCACCATGAAACTTGTCTTCCTCACTTCACCGTTAGAGGCCAGAGCAAAACCTGTACTCCAATACTAAAGAGTTGGAAAGATCATCCTTTTCCTCTTTCCTTATCCCTCATCCATGGTTAGCACAGGAGACAGCATTAGTTCAGCACTAAAGGGTATATTTTCACCAAGGGTGGATTAACTTGTGTTTGCCAAAAGCAGAAGACCTGTTGGTGAGTGCTGCAAGAGTCTGATGAAGTGGGATGCACCCTGGCACTGTGATCTAGCACTGAGATATAATTTCAGGACTTTCCTGACCTGGCTGTCACAAAATTATCCTAAGTGAAGATGGAAAATATGAATAAAAATGTATGAGGCTGAAGATAGCCTTTTGAATGGAGTTTTTTTCATGATATTATGGAAGTAGGATTTAAGTATGTGCCCCTGATCTGTCTTGTGCATGTATATAAAGAATCACTATGCAAATCCTAGTTTAGAAGAAAAGTGTATCTTGACTCATGCAACAAAACATCCCTGAAAACAGCAGGTACCACAAACAATACCTATTTAACAATAGAAACACTTTGTATTTCACTTCACAGTTACCTCCGAAAATAACTGGGATTTCAGGCTGAACAGGAAGGTTATACCAGCCATATATGAATTGATGTTTAGTCTTAAAAATAATAATTAATCTTTCTAAATATCAATCTATTTATATACAACAGAAATGAGTCACTCTTATTTCACATTAATGAGGAGCCATCTTCTTAATGGTTTATGCTGACACAAATATGCTGCTTTCTTGAAGAACACGGCAATATAGAAAGAAACACTTCTGTTAAAATTCATGCATAATCAAAACAAATTGAATATCCACTTTTATTTCCATAGGGAACAGAGCTATAAAGATTAATGCTAGACAATGATATTTAATTAAAGGTTATTTACTTTATAAGTACTTCCATGTTTTCAAGACTAGTCTCCTCATTTAAGACAGGAAGGTATAATGGATTTCTGAGCCATCTAACAGTCATAGGTGGGGGAGACCAGTTCTGATCACAGCAGAGTGCTTACAGCAATACTGACAAACTGTCTAGAAAAGTTTTTCACATTAAAGAATTCTGGTATTAAAGAATTTAAATGCATTTTAATTGACTTTTCAAAATTCCATTTTTTATTCACAAACACACCTGAAAACAATAACAGGAATTCATTTTTATATGCATTATTCTCTCTGATGGCATCTTGTTATACTGTACATATACTCCTCTATTCATTTTTGAGAAACAAAATAAAAGGTTATCCTCTTCCAAGTAATAACCAAATAAGTTTCTTTTCCTTGGGTACTAGACTGTTGATGTTTTCTGGACTATTTCTTTTTTAATAAATTGTTAACTACTTCAGTGAAATTAGGGGAACTAGTTTGTGTATGAGTGCAGATACTGACATGAGGAATTAAAGGGAGTACAGAAGAAAATTGCACAGTATGTCACTTTCATTTGATTTTGAGGCTAAAATTTACAATTAGACTTTGGAACACCAATTTCTAAGAGAAGATTTATTTTTAGAATGCAAAGATTTTTGGGATATATGTATTTGATGGTTGTTTTTCATCAGCATGAACACACAACCCCCAAAGACAACACTTTCAATAGCAGTTGTATTAGCCATCTACAGCTACAAGACTGTTTAAAATACACAAATAAAATGGCTTTATTTGGATTGTAATTAACATGGCAAATATTGCAATATTCTACAGAAAACAAACATTCCCAATCTATGTATTTTATTTCTTCTGACAACTGGCAAAGTATATTTTACTGCAGAATGCTTTATTGCTTCTTAACTATTCACCCTACACAGTATACATAAAAGCTTAATGAGTATAGCTGCGTAAAAACTAATTTTAATGCTTTTAAAATCAATGGTGAACAAAATGTTGTTTAGATTGTTTTTCAAACAACTATACCACATCTGATCCTTTGAGGAAAAGCAATTACTTCTTCTTGTCATAGCCAATACATTTCTTCATTCTCCCATTTCAGTTGTACCATTCTTAGGGACCTTTACACCAGCTACAATGTAAACAGTTAAACATTTCAGCAAATATAAAAGAATATTGTTATTAAATGTCTAATCAATAAAATGCCACTTCCACTAATAGGCTAGCAGTGAGGAGGGCAAGAGGAGAAAAAATAAAAATATTTTTTTTCCAAACTAACATATCGCATATTTAAGTTTGACTAATTAAATATACCTTTAAGGAAAACTTGCAGAAAAAAATTATATAAAAGGTATTCAAAAATCTCTATAAAACAGATTCTATAATCTAGATTTAGCTCCTGCTTCTTTTAACCCCTCTGTGAATAAACATCAGCTTTTTTGTATTTTATAAAGAAACATCAAATGTAATAATTTTTTGTAAGTTTCAACTACTATAAATCATTGGGAACTTAATGCACACCTAATTTATGCAACTGCATTGGTAGCAAGGAAATCACCATTGTTTAGTGTTTTGTATCTCTGTCATTCTCTCACAGAGAATTTTATTATAGTAGACACCACAATTGTTGAGAGTTTCTTAGCATTTAGATCAATTTTTAAAGTATATAATTCAGTCATAAAAACTGAGATCATAGCCTGAAAGTGTTAGTTTGTGAATTTCCAAACATGCGTGCACATACACACACACACACGCTCACAATGACACACATACACATTTTCTGATTTAAATGCTTCTTTCTCTTTCCCTTAACTGGCACTCCTGAAGTCTAAAAAATATATTCCTCCTTTTTATCAATTTTTGCAAGCCATCAGGTGAGAATACTGACTATTTCTGTGCTACAGTCAAAAAAGCAAATAACAATAACAACAACCAACCAAATGGCTGAGGAATTGAGGTTTAGAAAGAATTCTTAACACACGCATGAAAGTCACTTTTCATATGCAGTTGCCATGCATCCAGTACTATATTTCAGAAATAGAAAAGCATACATGTTATTAAATGTGCACTATTGTTCATAGGTTTTTTTAGACACATACATGAAGTGTGTATTGAATCCATAGTAAGACTTGTGCAGAAACATTACTAAACATGCTTGTGCATAGCCCACATTCTCCTGTCATTGCAACACAGCCTCTGTTGGCAACATTACAAGTAGGTGTTTCTTTAGAAAGTCATGTTTCAGAAGTTTTTTGCATGCAAAGGCTGCTGTTTCAAGCTCTGCCTTTACCACAATACTTAAACTGGGTTTTGGGCAAGTTGCTCTTATAACTGTAATTAATTCAGCCATTTGGAAAGAGGGTTTTGGGGAACATTTGCTTAACCTCCTTCTATAGCTGCCTGTCTCAGTAAAAATCTTCTACATCATAGGTTTTGTAATTTCTAAGCAGAGTTATGTAAGTGCTTCTTCTGTAATTATTTTGTTTCTTCCTTCAGAATACAAATAGTTAGACAGCAATATACACAACAAAACAAAAGTACAGGCCCAGCCATTTCAGTAAAAATTGGGGGAAAAAAAAAGTAGAGAGATTAAATTTCAACTTTAAGGTAATAAAAGATGGAGATGGAGGTGCCAATGAAATCTACCGAAACTAAATTTCAGAAGCACGGCTTTCTCATCTTGAAATGTTACACCCATAAAAGCAGCCTATAAAATTAATCTACCTGGAGATTTTCCATGTTAAATCAGCTCAGAAATAACTTTTGAGCACTTATGGCATAATATCTAAAATACATATTCTCCTGTTGTCCATATATCAAAATCCTGTATATTTTGAAAAATAAGCTCTGAGCTGCACTGAAATGTTTGTATTATAAGAAAGAACAGTAATAAAGTATATCACTTTCAGAGAGATTTGACATTTGTAAGCGTTCTCTAAAAATTTGCATCGGGTAGCAGTATTGGGTGAGTATGCTGCTTAAAGCTTCCTAAATTCACTTTTTTGAAGAGAAGTATATGGAACTGTGAAAGGCAACCAAAAAAAGGCAAAAAGCATATATTTTCAACCTACATCTGAAAATGAAATTCCTAAAATGCTATTGTTACCCATTAACCAGAGTGAAGTGTAGTCCATTCATATAAACTCTTTCATTCTGTTTGCTCAAGGGAAGGGGACATTCAGTATGAGAAAGTATATCAGTGGAGTAATTTCCAAAGAAAATAAACATTTACTTCTCATAGGAAAATAATGTGCCTTTTCAATTTGTCAGAACTGAAAATAAAGAGCAGTTAGATAACAATGTTCCTATGCTAATCAATTTGCCCAAATTAGGTTCTTGTAAAAATTAACATGAGGTATGTAATAATTTGTGCAAATTCAAATTTGTGCATTTTTTTTCCTGCCTAGGAAGCTGTAATAGGCAAAGTGGCTGATACAAGTAGAGAAGGAAAAAAAAAGATGAGAAAAAGATTCCATACATTTGGGTCCTTTCCAAGAACTTTACCACATTTTGCAGATTCTCAGTTTTCAAATAAAGGTGTCTTAGCCCTTTGAATTGTGGAGATATTCCTGCTTCTGTAAATCAATGTGTTGTTTCTAGCCAGCCTTGCAGAAATCTGTCTACAACCAGTCAGACAGAAACAATAGGAGTGGCAATTATATGTACTCTTTTCTCTCCCTCCAAAATTATTTTGGTTTTACCTTAAAATTGCAAGGCAATTTTATTAAAGGATGTGTTAGTGTTCAAAACACTAAGTTAGAATTGAGCAGAGGTTGCTCTGTAAAAGCACATATAACTAAAGTTTACAGCCTCCTTTTTTGCTTGTACAATGTCAGTTTGTGTTACTTTTATCAACTGAGCATTGCAGATTAGGCAAGGAGACGAACTCTGTAAGGAAATAAATTGGGGATGAGCATTTGGATTTTATCTGGTCTGGATGTTTAGTCAATTATGATGTTTCAGGCAAAGTTATTGAAAAAGGGGAGAAAAAAGCCAGTTGAAGACTGAATTGTACCAGATTGAACCACTGTTAAAGCACTGCATTCCATGCAGGAAGCAGCTTCAGAAAATCTTGATTAATGTGATAAAAAATGTATTGGTGAAATATATCAGCATTTTAAGTGACATGGCTGAGTTCAGCACTTGGTCCAATCTGTTTTTTTCACTTGCTCACCTGAAACTCCCATTAAAATCTATTTTGCCTTCCTGTTCCAGCTGTTTATAAATTACCTTAATTTACTTCTCCAAAAATCCACCTGAACTTCAGTGAAACATTTGGTTTCACAATTTATCAAGAGTACAAAGGTGGTGTGGTACAGCATGTTGTTAATGTGCTTTATATTTCTGAATCTGGAAGCTCTCAGTGAGTTAAACATGTTCTCTCACGTTTCTGACACATTTATCCGCAGAACGGGTTCAGAGGTGGACATTCTTTGATGTGAAATCAAGGTGCTACAGAATTCTGCAGAATCTATAGAAATACCTCCACAGATTTTGCCAAAAAACCTCAGCAGATTTATATTGGCCCTGCCAATGACTTTCTGTTTAACTTGTAATCAAAACAACTCAAACCCAGTTACTGTTTGCATATCTGCCAAGCCTCTCAATTTCAGCAGTAGGCAGCAGACTCTCAGTATGACAGCCTGTCTTTCAGATTCAAGCTGAATCTGCCAAGGCTCCACTACAGAGGCAACTGGTAAATTAAATGCCAACAAGCAAGGACATTCATGTACCTTTACACTCTGCACATGAAGAGACATCACAGGCCTCTTCATTCTAATGGGTGCTTTGTGTGTTTTGGGCTGCAAAGTAAAGAGTGCCTGCTCTTATGCATAATGAAACCATTGCATATATATTAGTTTAGCTGTATTGCACTAATTCTATGGTCACAAATTACCTAAGAGGTTTTCTTGTTACAGAAAACCAGAAAATCCTTTTGTTAGTGAAATTAACCCACTGAAATCGAGCAGAGAAAGAAAAAATCAAGTTTTAAGCCCTCTTCTACCTAAAGACAGCAGATAACATTATGTAGCCAGGTTACAGAAGAGTCATTATCAAGGGTAACCAAAAAAATAAACAGTCAAAATCATGCTGTCAAATCTTTAATTCTCTTGTTCGTAATATGGGCACTCTCTCTGATTCTGAAGAAGAGGATCTTTTCAAAACCATCAGTACTACTGATTATTCTTTATAGCAAGCAGAAGATGTTAATTACATTTATGTAATATTGACTTTTATTAATATCTACAACTTGCATGAGACTTTTTGATTATTGATAGCTGATGCAGTCTCTATTGCGAAGCTTAGATTGTATTAGAGATTTTGAGTGCACAACCATAATACAACCAGAGATATTAATACCACTGAGCATAAATAACAGCACTTGACAGACTCAAGTAGGGGGAAAAGCACTAACACTGGTTACTCTAATGGATAGAATAAATGATAGAATCATATAATGAGTTTACAGCAGCCAGGTTCAGTGAAATCTATTTCTGAAGTAGGAAGCGGGGCGGGGTGGGGGGGAAGGTAGCAGTTTTGGTAACAGAATGAGGGTATGAACACATTAAAAATTAACAGGGTGTCTTCAGATAATTGAAAGAAAAAGCACCAGCATGGGAAATTTAGCTGTTGTAACTCACATGGCTCTACAGTGAGCATTATCACTGTTTCCTGTCATGGATTTAATCTGCCATCAGACCTGTAAATGAAAGAAAGAAGTATGAGCTTCCCAAGAGTTCCTACAATAACATGAGAGAATTTTCTTTTTCTTTTTCTTTTCCTTTTTTTTTTTTTTCATAGAGTGGGGGAGAGAAATCTTCAGTTACTGTTGTGCAAGTGTCTTTTTTATTTACTGTAATTTGGCAGATGCATCTCTGCAAGACTTCAGAGCTAAGAAAGTGGAAAACTTTGACGTTTCTTTGACTTGAGCTGGTGGAGATGCATCTTCTTAGCAATTGTAGAGAAATATTATATTGTTGCAGCTGCCTGGTGATAGCAGTGAACTATGCTTCATTTTACAGTGCCAGTTCTTTCTTTCTCCACTTCCATCCAGCATCTGCAGTACTTACCTTTGTCACACCAAGATTTACTTTAACTGGAACTTTGTCAGATATCTCCAGAAAAATGACAAACTAAAATTAACCTATAATTTGAATATGAGCCTGAAAGCATGCACTTGTTGGAAAATAATTCACCTTCTATGGACACACACACGGGGGAATATTACAGGGATATTTGCAATTCCAGACGCACAACTTCATTAATGAAAGAGTAAATCTGTTAGCACCCAGTCATGCTCTCTTGCTGTGTGACCTATTCTTTAGCTTGAACTCATAATTTCCTGATTTTATGTAAGTTCTAGGTCCTTATGGAGTGGTCTCAAGCAAAACTCTTGTGAATCATAGGGGCTGCAGCATCAGGTGCCTGAATCAGTCCTTCTCCTTCCATTTATAACAGTATTTTGTAATTATGTAAGTGAAATCTGTCAATAATAATATGTACTTAACAGTAGAAATTATGGCATGTGTCCTTCAAGATTAAAAAAACAGAGCTCCAGAAATCCTTGTGGTTCTAAAGTTCCCTTTTTCTCTACTCCTTTATTTCAGCCACCTGTCTGTAGGCTGGAAGTTAGCTGCTGGCAAGCCTGAGACAGGGATGGTGCAGCCAGTAGGACCAGCAGCTAAAAATCTCATGTATCTCTGGTATATAAAGACACACTATCCCCTCCCTGAGGCCTACCTAAGTTAGAACATAAAGTGCAAGTTAAAAATAATGAAACTTCTCCAGTCTCCAGGAGCTACTGAATTTGACTTCTGTGAACAGATATTTTGATGTAAATATTCTCCCAAACCTAAATTTAAACAATCCAGTTCTGTCTATCTCTGCTAAATGTGTTTTGTTAATGCCTATTTCTTTTTTTTTTTTTCAGTAAAAAATTCTCATTGAAAAAATGATTAATAGATGCAGTTTATGGAACAAAAAAAAATCAATACTAAAAAAACTAAAACCAACAAAAAAAACCCAAAACAGAACAAAACACACACATACATAGGTTTCACTAATAATAGGGTAATCATTTCCTAGTTTCCATTCTGACCCACCCGAGGGCCACTGGCTTGGGGCTGGGGGAGGGGAGCAGAGCTGGGTGATTAAAGGGTTAATATTCAAATGAGAAATTTGCAAGGCCTGCATAATGGAACTGCCACCCTGATAACAATAGGAATTTTTAACAATATCGAGCCTTGTTAGCAAGAGAGTTACAAGCATTGAGGGCAATCAGTGTGTCTTGTCAGTTTCTTTTTATCTACCATCTCCAACCGCCAAGGAACCGAAATGAAGCACTTTGGAATTATCAATTTCAGCCACATTTGCATAACAAAGCCCCCGAGGAAGAGGCATGATAAATGTGAAGGACCCCTCTTGGAAAAGGAACTGTCAACCGCGCCCCGAAAGATTCTCCGACCGAGCGCATTCTCGGGGATTGTAGTCAGCGAAAATAAAATGAAAGCATTAAAGAAAGTCATTCTCTCAGAGAGAAAAATCTCCCCCTCTGCACAGAGAGAACTGGATGAAATGACATTATGCATATGAAAATGTCCAGAAAGATGTTTGATTTATGTATGCATTAGATGCAAATTCCATTACCGCACGCGCGCTGTTGTGTGATTTGGCTCTGAACACATCACTGCCCTGATCAAATCTGATCTCATTAATTCCGACAAGGAGAGAGAGAGGGAATTGAGAAGAATTTATGGCCTGGACACTTGAAAGAAGTAAATTGTAATTCTGTTTAAAGCTGAAGTGAACCTTTTAAACACCTTTTATTATAGAAAAAAGCACTTACTTTTATAACACTGTTAGAACTTACTTAATCTTGTACTTGGAACTTCTAGTCCTCATTTAAAAAAATCTATGACCTTGTTTGGTGGGGGGGTGGGAGGGGAGAGAGAGATAGACAGAGAGAGAGAGAGCAAAAAATATGCCTGTCTTAGACTGAAATCCAGCAGAAGCATCATAATAATATGATCAAAGAGGACCTATTGACTATCTGAATAATCGTGTGAAAATTTTGCTCTGCTGGTGTATGTTTATTTTTAAACAATCTTTTAATATCCTCAAATCAAATGTCAAATACTTTACAAGTGTTTCTATGAGAGATAGACATTGCATGCTTAAAAATGTTATTAATTGTGATCTAGATAAAAAAATGAGTCATGTTTTATAACAATATTCTCAAGCACTGCAATGGTGTCAGCTAAAACTGATATGTGTTCCATTCTGAGATATAGACAATTTAAAGACAAAAAAATTCCATATCTTTGCTAAAAAGGAAGTATATTACTGTAGGGGGAAAAAAATGTTTCTTACATTAATAAAGATTCTTATCCTTGTTTTGCTCCTGAGAAAGACCTTAATAACTCATTTCCTCCCTTCATGAAAGATAATCACCCTTCATGGGTGAGATATCCTGTATTTACTTGATACCAAGTGTAAAACTGAAATAGTGTCTCAATATGTTATTGCATTGTATAATCAGTGTTCCTCCCCCAACATTCATGAACCCCTAGGGTGCTTCATAGCCTAGAATAGTTTCATTTCTGTTATGCATCTTCCGTTTTAGTGAGATATGATGAAGTACCTCCCCAGCAAAGGAGAGGAAGATAGTGAAAGAAAAAAAAAAACAAGTGCCCCTTGATTCCGAAATTCTTAGTTGCCTATTACAATTCATTTAAAAATAAATGAATGATTTCTGCAGTCTCCCCAATGAAGCCTGAATCTTTCTTTGATAATCTGATCCAATTGAAGTAACTGTTGTGCAAATGTTACCCAGAGAGAGACGGAAAACTTATAATTTATTGTATATATAAACACAAAACAATAACTTGTAAGTAAACCACGTGAACACAAAACTTGCAGGTAAACCATGAGAATGTCTTTTAAGCATCATTCATATTTTCAATGGTTAATATTGATTTCTTGCAGAGGTTTGTTTTTTTTTTTTTTCAGTCTTTCCACATGCAGAAACTATGTGTTTACATATCCAAACGCAGAAAAATATTACCCTTTGAAATGTTATTTTAGTATTTTTGGCTACCAAATTCAATCATTAGCTTATAAAAAAGGGAACACAGACCTGATTTATGTAGAAATTTCAATGGAATCCTAAGTATGCATTCAAAAACCACTTTGCAGAAACATGCAGACATTATAATATATAAATGAGTACAGATATATCCTGTCATTTTATTATTGTGTCCTCACTATGTACACATTTCTGTAGAAGTATTTGAAAGTGCTTGTGTACACATGAAAAATAGCAGAGAAATATATTTTGTAAGCTTATAATAAAGTGGGCATTTGTTAAGGTGAATATGAATGCTGCTTTTCGACTGTACTAAATCGAGTACACTGAAACATGCAGTGTGCATTGTGCTGAGAGCATGAAACAACTTAGCAATTTGTATATCTAAAATATAATTATGTACAATGCAATATTTATCTGACTGAGAATTCTAAAGAATTATTTCTCCTAAATAAGCACTCTTTCCATTATTAACTGGAGTGTGGATTACTTTACGTTATGTTTAAGGGAAAAAAAAAATCACTCAGAATATTCCTTGAGTGTTGACTTTCAGAAAATTATAACAGTGTGAGAGAAACTGTAATTGCAAAATTTGGTTTGGTGTTTTACATAAGGTTATCTCGCTCCTCCTGCATACCCTTTAGCATATCACTGAATGCATTTTATTAAAATATTCAAGCCACCTGTCCATTTGAAGCTGTTTCAGTTATCATCCAAAAATAAAAGCAATTTGTACTTCAGAACACAGGAACCCAGAAATAAGTTTCCACTACTGGCGGCTAATTAAGCAGACTGGGCTTGCTGTCCCTTTAAAAAAAAAAGAAGTAGTAAAAAAAAAGCCCAAGCCAAACCACAACAACAACAAAAGAAACCACATCCTTTTTGCCGCCCTAACCCCTCCTCCTGGTCCCCCCAAATACACACAGAGACACACAGACTACCCTTCAATGAGTGGTTCAGGCTCCCTGATTAAGGTCATGCCGTTTGTTCATTACTGGCCTGGCTAATGTGATTGAATTGGAACAATACCTTTGAACTCCTTGGCTCTGATCTGCATACTAATTGACTCTCTTGTCCTTGGTAGTGACCTTGACAGGCTTTCCACCACTCTCAGAATGGCTGACCAGTTTCTTATCAAAAGTTCCTAGTAAAAAAAAGCCCCAACCCCAAAATACGAATTAGTCACTTACACTACTTCTCTCTGTATTCATATTTCCTTATATACCATTAGAAAAGCAAATTTTTTACTCCCTAGCTCCCCCTGGATGCTTATTAATACTTGAAAATCACAGTGTCACTTTAAAGTACTGAAACAGTGACAGCATTGTTTTGAAAGAGTTCATTGTTGCAGCTCAAAACACATTTTGCACATATTTTCAGGTGGCTTTTTTCCTTATTACACAAAGAGTTGCAGTTTAACTCATGGACCTTAACATCATCGAAATTTTTCTTTTTTTTTTTAATACAAAAAAAATCTTGGTTGTAGCCTAAGAAAACAGTACAAATTAGTTTCCTTTTGAGAATTTACATTAGCATGCTAACAGTCTGCATTTCAACAGGTTTTATAGTAATAGAAATACTATGGTTTCAAACAAAACAAAATCAAGCCATGCAGAACACTGCATCTAGAAAATGCCAGGTTTAAGGTAGTGAGCTAAGGATTTTACTTTTCTATCTCTGAGGCTCTTAAAGCAATGTATTTCTCCAGAGAGACAGGATTTCTATACAGAAGACATTATTAAGCACTGCACCAATATTTATGAAAGAAGCAGTACAGGAGAATATTCTTCTGACTGAAAAGGAGGGGTTTACTTCACTTTTACTAGAGTGGAAGTCTACCTTGTGAGGCAAGTCTCAGTGAACTTTTATTCTTAAGGTAACGAAGTAATAGTTAAATCAAACTAAAATTACATATCACTAAGAAAAACAGATAGAAAGCATGCCAATGAATGTTCTTTGTCAGGTGGCCCATGAAGATTCACTTTAGGAAAATCTATATGTTTTCTTTAATATTTATTCTTTCTTAAGATGAAATCTATTGCAGGAAAATAGCTGGAATTTTAAAGTCATTTAATAACACTTTGCACTTCTCTAGGTTCTCAAAGGGCTTTAGAAATATGAAGGAATTAATATGTATTATTACCAGGTGAAGTATTGTTATGGAAGTTTAACTATAAACTGCAAATATACAAATAATAAACCAAACTCCAAAAATTTTAGCACACATTTTTCATGTAATTTCCATTTTTATTCTGCTTGGGTAACCAGATCAGCTGTTTTGACAAAAGGCTCAAAACAGAGACTTTCACTACTGAGAAATTCTTTTTTTTAGTTTTTAAGGGAATAATATCCAAGTACTTAGATAGGGAGCTCACAGATTTGGCATCCGGTTCAAAACCATTATAGAAATAAGCCATAAAATTCAGACCTTGGTCCAAACTTTCCTAAAAAAATTCAAGAATGGCCTGAATCAAAAATTCCGGTATGAACCCCAGAATGTTGCTACAAAGGAACGCGTGGGGCTTGGTTTGGTCCCTATGACTGCTTCTGCTGAGCACGGAGGAGACAGGCTTCTCATTGCCCCACTGGAGTCTGCACACGTTATCTGCAATGTCCCTGCACTGCTGGGCAAAGCCTCGGGGCTGTCAGGACCCCAGAAGTGCTGAGACAGGAAAGGCAGAGAGGGAGAGGTGCAGAGTCCAGCATCTGCAGACACCTGCAGCAGCAGCAGCAGCAGCAGCAGCAGCAGCAGTGCAGGGAAAACCTGCCAGCAGGACCCTGCCACATCACCAGGGCTGAGGAGAGAGGCACGTGCAGGTAGCTGGATCTGTGAGCAAATTAAATCTCCCCAGCACCACACAAGTGGCACAGGACAGAAGAACATATTTTTGAAGGTATTTTTGTGCCTAAAACACATACAGACATTTATAGGTGCTTTCAAATGCATTTGGGCCAAATTCTTATTGACTTCAATTTGCCTTGAGACCCTAAAAACAGCAGCTGAACAGGTATATAAATTTATATATATTTATATAAATTACCAATCAATTTTTGTCACCAAAAATAGCACTGATTATACAAAAATTTAGCATTTCTGGTATTCTGAGACCTTCCTAAAGTATACTGTACACTAAAATATACCTGGTGTCCCTGAAGCAAGAAAGCATGCAGAGGAGTTTTTTTTAGCAAGAGTACTTAAAAGTGAAACTGCAAAGGAAAGGTTAGCTAGAAAGGATGCACCCTATGAAACAAGGCTCTGCTCTCTCATTGATTTTACTTTTTTTTCTCCTCACAATTTGTCCATCCTTGGTTTTAGGATACAACAAACAACTGGCATGGCCATCACTGTCACTATTTAATTTTATTTAAGCAGTGAGCACCACCTACTGCAGGGGAAGATTGCAACCTATTTAGTCACTACATCAATCACTTCCTATAATAATTTGTTTTCCTAAAGCTGTTACTGCTGAAGTTCTGACCAGACTTATTTATAGATTTCATATGAGATAGGAGCTGATCACTGCTCAAAATGGAGTTTTTGTGAGCTATCTGTAACACATCTAGGCCTAGATACTAACCAGCTAGTGGTAAATGAAAAAGATCTAATAAATTAACCTAGTATATAAAGCCAGATTTCAAACAAAGGCAGCTAGCAGGAGAAATTACTTTGTTCTACTCTCAATACTTGATCTGTGACTAAAACATTAGGGAAACTGTTCACTGACTGAGGTTCAACTTCTTAAAATAATAAATAAGTAAGTTTTAGCACTGAGTTTGTTATGCTTTTATATGACAGATAGACTTGGTTTAGGAAAAAGGCAGGAAGGGCACAAAAAGTATCTCCCCTTTCCCATATCAGAAGACAGGCAGGGATTCTGACATCACTTATGTGGTGCTCAGGCACCCTCTTCTCATTGCAGATGAAACCCCCTCACCTGCTCACCTCTTATCCATTTTCTCACAGCTGCCACTTCCTGCTCACCTAGTTGCTCCCTAACCTGATTCAATAAAAGCTATTTCTTTAACCTGCATCAGTTTGGCTGCTTTGGACTGGAAGGCCATTCTGTGACTCTTGCCAGTAGCCCTGAGGAGGCAGTAACTTTCAGCAGGAGCCTGGGTGTGAGCTGAGGGGATGCTTAAGCAGGAGAAATCAGGGTACCATCTGCAGCCAGAACAGGCTGTCTGACTGCAGCACAGAGCTGTTGCCAAGCTGTGCTAAGTTACACTGGTCATAGAAGTTCCTCAACAGCTTCTGTCTGTAATGGAAAGATAGAGGAAATCTGAGCTCTCTGTCCTGGTCCTGTCATCACACCAGGATAAAAGTAAAGATCCTCCATACTTCTGAGGATGAGACAAATAAAATGCTCAGTTGAACACCCTGCTGGGCATTTACAGTAAGACTGCACATGCCTGCAGAATGCAACTGCAAAGTATGATTGTTGATATGTCAGAGGACTATTAAAAGAAAAATGTCAATATAACCAAAACACCTGCAAAACAATATAGACTTCTTCTTCTAGCACTTGTTTTTTACTTGCAGCCGACATGATGTTGGCAGGGTAAGGCAGAGAAAAACCATGCCCTCCAATTTCATCATTTCATCATAATGACCATTATCTTGATTTCTTTCAGAACATTTAGCAATATATATATATATATATATATATACATATATATATATATATATATATTTAGAGACATACTGATTATAAAAGTTATTCCAAAATTTTCTGTATGCCTTTCTGTCCAAGAAAAGCAAAAGAAAACTAACACATGACAGCTGTGGAAATGCATAGAACAAGATACACAGCAAGTGTGGTGATGAACAAGGTGTAGTAACTGGAAGGAAAAGAACATAATAAAAGTGAAAAGTATTAATTATTGATAAGATAAGGGACAGGTAATTACCACACTTCATATCTGCCTACCTGCTATAAGGATAGAGAAGACATTTTTTAGCTAATAGGTAGAGTGGTGGGTGTTTGCTCTTTTGGCTCTGTAGGCAGGTTCCCTTCTTCCTTGCTGGCTGGCACTGTCATAAACAGACTATATTATTCCAGGTAATTGTCAGAAGTCTATTGAAATCACTTAAATAACAATAATAATAATAAGGATAACTATTACAGTCAGATCTGATCAGAATGCAGGTTAAAGCAGAAGTCCAAGACTAAAACACATCCCTCAACTTGTATTTACTATAAGGAGGACAGATAATAACATGAAAAGAGTCCATTATTTTACTTCACATAAAAGCTATAGTGAGAGATTTATAGCCAGTAGCAAACTTTAAAACAATTGAAACTAATGAGAGAGTAAATACCAAACATAATAGGTGCAAACACTCACATGCAGAATTTAGGATATACATTACATGTACCATGCAGATTGGGAAAAAAAACTTAAGTAAATTCTAAACATTTACCTTCTAAACAGAGAGCTGAAGCATGCCTCAGTATTGCTTTTGCCCTTTTCTAGTTTTATTCCATCCCTTGCTGTACTGCTTTTGTCCACTCATGCAGTAATTTCTTAAGAGGATAATATTTCTCACCATTTTATTTCAATAACCATCCCTTAATGACTACTTCTTTGTTAATTGAATAAAGACTTCTATATTTACCATTTAATCTAAAAGATTAGCATAAAATCATGTGACAGCAATATAACAACAGCAAAGCTGAACCTCAAGGCACAAACTCTATGCTGTTAGTTATCCCTGACACACTGTAATGAGAACATTCATAACAAAATCCTTCTTAATGGTAATGCACCTGTCTTCAGGCTTGCAACATATTTGTTGTCTCCAAGCTATCTTGATAAATGTCAAGTTGGTTTTCATTCCTTTTTGTTTAAATGTGGTGTTAAGTTGGTAGGTTGGTGGAGAAAGCATCAACATAGTTTCGTGCACTCTTTTTTTCTGATATGGCAGGAGATGAGCTATCAGTTGGTTAGTCACCAAGAGATTCTGAACTTCTGACAGTCCTCTGACTTGTCAGCCTCTGGTCAGATATTAATCTGCTGATGTTCACACACATGAGAAATGCCATGTTCATGCCCAAGAAACCAGTGAGCCACTGAGCTGCATAACAAAAGCCCAGGTGCTAAAGCAGTTCAGGGATGCTGTCCTCCAAAGCTCTTCCTGCCACTGTGAACTCAGATAACACAGCAGGGCTCCTGCCAGTTGCACGAGAGGACTCTGCCATTGGGACCATGC